AGCCCGTTCCATTAAAGCGAGCCCTTCTCAGTGGCGGCAGTCGCCCAACATTGCTTTCAATGCCTCCTCATCAGCCCATGCCCGGATTCACTCTGGTAATAAAGTTGCTCAAGTGTATTTCATTGCCATATGTTCTGCTGGGGCGAGCATGCGTGTGTGTGTGGCTTTTGTTATCACATAGGATTAGGCATAATGAAGTGTTTTAATGCGTTTAGGCCATACACACAAATATTATAAGCACACGGCACACCGGTAGCTGAAGTAGTAGTAGTTACGCAAGTTGCCCAATAAAAAGCCCTCCAGCTAAATGTAATTAAAATGTGTACAAGTTGCTGTTAATTTTCAACTTAAATGAGATGAGGATATTATATGAAGTGAACCCATATTTGAGTTACATATTCTTCTTATCCAAAGTACCTCTACTAAAATTTAAAAACAAAAAAACTTATTTCAAATGCTTTTAGCAAAATAGATCGTTTGTCAGAGACGTGGTCTGATGGGTATGCACATCTATGACAAGTGGAAGCAATCTATGTTAACACACATCTTGTACTTTCACCTTGTTAATCGATATATTGATGGAAATCAATTGATTTGCTTTTGTACGATCACAAATAAGCTTAACTAAATCCATCTCTCACATTTTTCACATCTATTTACATTATGTCTTCTTCATATTCAGAAGACAAAATAAAAAACCATTTTTAAGAGCTATTTCTGTATTCGATTATTATGATTTTGGATTCTTGAACCATATAAGGATAATGAGCAATGGTAAATACTAAAACTTCGTATTGCTTTGCCAACACAAACTGTAAGCAACTCATAGTTAGAGGAAGCATATTTATTTCTAAGATATATTTCTGTTTTCATATATCCTGAATATTGAGAACTAATTAATACTCCAAGTCGAAAAACTATAGATAATTCATACGTAGGTGAAGCATCTCCAATAGACAAGCCGGAAAGAACAACTAGAACAGTGTTGAAACTTTTTCGTCACACGCAACATTCTATGAACAACCTTTTGTGCACACATATATAAATTTTGCACCTTATTTGGCTTTCATGATTTTTGGCATTCTCGTTGGGCTGTGGGCGAGGTGTGGAAAACCATTAAAGAAATTACATGCTGCTCGCTCCTGACTCCCATTGCGAGTGTCGAGTGTGGTGCGCGGGACACTGAATGCAATCGCATTGATGTTGAAAAAATAAAAAAAAAAAAAAAAAGTACCGACTATAGCGCTTAACTGTCGTGTTGGGCGTATTTAAGGGGAGGGGGTAGAGAGGCGTGTCATAGCATGGTGTATGGGCGGCGGTGTTGACGCTTTTTTGTGGGCATCAAAACATCAAAGTGATTGAATTGTTGCGATTGCTTTCAGAAAAGTGTGCAATGTCTGAAAGCAATTTGAATTGAATTGAAATTAAATTAAAATTGCCGGCAGTTGAATATAAGCTGCAGCATTAGAGCATTTATAGACTATGCTTAAAAAAAGCAATTTGCAGTTGGTTTTCTTTGTTCGTCTTCAGAAATACATTCACTCATTTATTTGGGATTATTATTCATATGCATTTGTTTATTGTTTGCACGCAAATCGAAGGCAAACAATTTCCAATTGTCATAAATAAAAATGATGTACATATATATAAAACAAATATAAACAACAAATATACAATACATTTGCCACAGTCTTTTCACGCCCATAGAACACAATGTATGATGTTGGGTGAGCAATTGTTTGCCAGCGATTGCCATTAAAATTTAAATCACAGCAATTATTATTAATGGTCGAAAGCGCTTTTTATAAATGTACGCAAATTGTTGCGCAAATTGTGCAATGGCCCTCGACAACAAATACAACAAAAGCCATTCAAACCAACAATGCTAATTGGTAAAGCAAACATAAATCAATGGCAATAATTTTCACGCCATTTTAATGTTCAACAACAACTCTGCAAAGAAAGAGGAAAAAACGACACAATGGCGCATTTGAGACAAACATATATATTATATATATATATTCTCATTTTTTATGCTCTGTCAAAGAGCAAAAAGCTTTATGATATAGCTGCGCAATGAGGATAAAATGTGGGAATATACATACATACATGCATATCTTACAGGCTTCTTATAGAGCTCACAATAAATCCGATGATTGAGTGGATTCTCAGGTGTGGTATGGACACCTTGGAGTCTATCAGATTTACCAATTAAGCGAGCATTTCAGTTGATCATTGCAATACAGTTGAATTTGGAAGCTAATGCGGCCTTTAGGCCTTTAATTGGCATTCAGTTACTGTTATTACACACTTTGTGCAAATGAATGCGACGCAATAATTGCTTAAAAGCTTAACAGGTATTTGCAATCAAATAAATGGAAAATAGCAACAGTGGAATTTATCGAGTGATTGTTTTCTGAACAGAACACAATGAATTCCGGTGGAGGGGCCATTTAATGAAAATGGATTCTCACGCAAAAAGGGAAAATGGGCCATAATGCGATACCTTAAGGCAGATGTAATATATCCACAAAGGATCGCCGCAAATTTGTTCTTAATTAACTGGCAGTGTGCTCAAGTTTCAGTACAAAGTGTTAAAAGAACAGCAAACAAAAAATGAAATACACAGCTATATCTTGGAACGATATGAATCACATTAGCTAGATTTGCATCGGGATTACGCGTTGCGGCAGAAGTAGGTGCAAAACGAGGCCCTCTCTCACCTCTCTGCCCAAAATCCCGATGGTGCTGTGACAATTGTCACGAATCAAGAGCACGCCGGCCTCGAAATCTAGGCCAATCTCGGCACTCGAGCGTCAACAAAAGGTAAGCAGATTTGTGCTAATATGACGGCATCTGTTCAACAATGGGCCGCAGGCAAGCAGGGTCTGAGACAGAGCGGCACCTGAGTCCGCCCGGTGCGTGTGAACGTTGACAACGCCTCAATACAGTCCTTGAGCCCTGAACGCGATCCTTATTCGCAAGGTAAACAAAACACACACACAACACAAATGCGAAGATGGCAGGCTAATGCCTAAGCTTCAAGTGCTGTTTGTTCAAATTATGCAAATCTCTGCCAAATCCAACGGGCATTCGGGGATTGCAAACGATAGGAGCAGACTTTGGCGTGCGCCGATCATCGAACTTCGCAGACAAAGCGACGTACATTTTAATTGGTAAACGTATGTATGCTCAACAACAGGCTCAACAGCCAGAATAAGTGCAGGGCTCAGAGTTTGGTATGCGTACGTAAGAAATTCGCAGAAAAAATCTAAGGACAGCTAATATGACCTTTTACACGAATAGTTGCACAAAACTATTTAGCCTCCCACTAGTAATACAGATGAACAATAAAACCTAATATAGTAAAAGCCTTAAACTTTCTTAACGAATACAAATTTTAAAATAGATCTTTTTTTTGCCTAAGCATTAAATAATATTACTTAAGTTTTTGTTTAACATTAAATATGATCTTTTAGTATTTTAATCTGTCCGAAAAATTCAACAGTCGCATTGTGTATCATAAGTAGCTATAATATTTAAACAGTATCTTAAAAGTTTCTTTATCTATTCTATATATTATATAGCAGCGTCATTAAACCAGATTCATCCTGCGTTAGTTCTTTCATCATTGGCAATTTCGACCTTGGTGCGGATATCTCCCGCATTATTGGCCCAACTGCTTTCTGTTGTCTCCTAGGGATATGGCTGCTGCTCCAAGGCATGCCCTGAAGTCTTATATCACGCAGAATACAATTGCTTAGCTTTACTTATGATGTCAAGAACTACTAACTTAACAAAATTATAGCAGTAAACTAAGCGTTTTACTTATGGATCCTCGATTCACTAAGAAAAAGTTTATTTTCTGCCCCTAAAAGTATGCTTTGTTTGCTTTTGGCCATTTAGCCAATGCATTAACCTACATTTATGTCACTGGTTCATGCACATAATTTCCCACTAGGGTAGAAATTTTTGTTGTTTAATTATAACTAGGTTTAAGTATGCATACAACAAAAAACAAAATCTTCACTGAGCGCTTAATTTACTGGTGCATCATTATTATTCCCTCTATGCAGCTAATTCCATTTTTCTGGATTGCCATCAAACTTATTTTTAAAGCTTGGCAGTGTACTTTTCGCAATTGGTACTGATTAATTGAGGATCAGATATTGGGAACACCTGTCATCAATGCTCCAGGCCCCATTTTGGGTACATGCAAAATTACAGTAAATGGTTGCTCAACTGGAAAGTGCTGCAAATGTTTTGCCAACATTTTCCATATGCAAAAATAGTGCGTTGCTTGACAGCTGCCATTGTTTTCATCGAGTATGGAAATGTATCAAGATTAGGAATGAGTGAGGCCAACATTGTTATTCTGCCAGTTGGCACCGTTCTTACCACAAACCAAAGACCAAAGCCAAGCATCTCAATGCTCTTCTGCACTGCGATTTGCTTTGTTAGCCGTGTTCATGTGTGGACCGCTTTTGTTATTTTTGCTGATACGGCTGAGGCTCAGGCTCAGGCATCAGCTATTTGGGCATTACTAGATTAAGAAACAAAGCGGCAACAACAATATATGTATATGTATATGTATGAAGTATGTGTACTGTCCAACGTTTTATGGCTCATTACCATTGTATGGGGTGCGGAGTGCGTGATAAATATTTTGCTACAATTTCCATTATGTTTTGCTTGAAAAATAGGTCTTTGTTTGCAGTATATGCAGTATTCGAAGCAACTATCTCTTAGCGGATCTTGGCATTAAGACACGCGGCATATACTTTGAACTCGATAAGAATAATCCCATTGCTCATTTATGCACAAATTAAATATTCATACATATGCACATATTTATTTCTATTACAACCATGATTAAAACTTTTGGTAATCACAATCAAAATTTGAGCTCAATATTCTCAGTCTATCGATGCTGCTTTCGATAAGAATATGTCGACGATAGCTTTGGTGGAGATGCCAACCCAGCGAAAAGCTTTGTCGTTAGTTTTGTTTTTGTATTTGCCATTTTATGAGCTGCCTTGCCGGTTCGTTGTCATTCATCGTTCGCCTTAGGTCAACGACAGATAATCGGTTACTAATTTGCCCATAACTTACATTTAAAAAAATATATTAGCTTAAATATGTCGTTTATTGGACGTGCATTGCTGCGTAATGTAAGTATTTGTTAAGGGTGCAGCACAGATTCGAAAACATGCACATTGTGATTACGTAATTGTGGTGACACGATTAATTTGCATTCATTGCAGGGCAAAGGTATTGTTTGTGGTCAATACAAACAGACAACGACGCGTCTGTTGCATCAGAGTAAGTATGCATGCAAATTTGTGTATTCTTCAACACAAGTTTTCCGTCCTTCCACTCGGCAGCTGCTCCACTGTGCGCGGTGCGCGTTCAACAGCCGGCTCCAGATTTCAAGGGATTGGCTGTGATCGGCAATGACTTCCAGGAGATCAAACTGGAAGACTACAGAGGCAAATATCTGGTGCTGTTTTTCTACCCGTTAGACTTGTAAGCCACTATCATCGTACACTGATTAGTAACAGTTGCTTTAATATATATATTTTTTTGGAATCTATTCGTACAGCACCTTTGTTTGTCCAACGGAAATAGTTGCATTTAGCGAACGCATTAACGAGTTCCAGGACATCAATGCCGAAGTTGTCGGCGTCTCGGTGGACTCGCATTTTAGCCATCTGACCTGGTGCAATGTAGATCGCAAGAATGGCGGCGTTGGCAAGCTGAAATATCCATTGCTTTCGGACATTACCAAGAAGATATCCGCTGATTATGATGTGCTGCTCGACAACGAAGGCATCTCGCTGCGCGGCACATTCATCATTGATCCGAAAGGTGTCTTGCGTCAGTACTCGATCAACGATTTGCCCGTGGGCCGATCCGTCGATGAGGTGTTGCGTCTAATCAAGGCCTTCCAGTTTGTCGAAGAGCACGGCGAGGTGTGCCCAGCCAACTGGAATCCAAAGACTAACCCGGCTACCATCAAGCCCGATGTGGATGAATCCAAGCAATACTTCAGCAAGCATGGCTAAGACTGCCATTAAAAACCTTCAACATTCAACTCAAACAGAGACCCCAACAAAAAAACGCCACAAATTATTTTGTCAATCCTTTAAAGCATAAAATACAAATTACGTAGTTACATGGTTAATTGAGGTTTTGGATTTTAGGATTATAGAAGTGTCAGAGACTAAAAGTAAGTATTGTGTGGACCATGCAGTAAAGATCAATTGGATGGCGGCGGAGGCGGTGGCGGCTGTGACAAGCCCAGTGAAGGTGGTGGCGCACACGGCGGTGGTGGCGGCGGTGCATAGCCTGTGCCCCAGCCTGGATAGCCACTGGCCCACGGTGGCATTGGTGGTGCACTGGTACCAGGCGGCGGCGGTATTAGCGGCGGCAATGTACCCGGTATGGGCGGATTCATGGACTCGGCGGCCGGCGGTGGCGGCTGCGGTGCACTCATCCAGGGCATCAATGGTGGCGGCATCGGTGGCGGTGCCTGCGTCACTGACGGTGCTGGGACATATGGCGACATGCCCATGCCATGATCCATGCCCATGCCGTGATCCATGCCCATTTGATGCTCATGCGGTGGTCCTCCCCAGCCACCGCCACCAACGCCGCCGCCACCACCACTATTACCACCACCATTACTACTACCGCCCATCTCACGCTGATGATCCCGCGGCGAGGCGCTTGTCGGCGATTGTATGGCCTGCATCTGGGATGGCTTCTTATCGAAGATGCTGTAGGTGGCGCGATGCAGCTGTGGGGCAACTGGTGCCTCGGGCTTGGAGGCTGACGGCGGGGGGCCCTCACCCAGCTCTGCCATCAAACTCATGTACTCCTCATCGATCTTGTTCTGGGAATCCTCACAGGCCATGCCCGGTGCACCGGAGCCCGGACGCTTGTTTCGACAATCCTTGGTCAAGTGACCAGTGCCGCCGCATGAGGTGCACACAATGGTGTTGGTGATGATCGGCTTATCGGGACACTGCCAGGACTTGTGGTCCGTTGAGCCGCAGGTGCAGCGCTGAATGTCATTCTCGCGCAACGTGCCATTGAGCTGAGCAAGTTCGCGGAGCTGCATGCGCCGCAGATCGTTGTGGCCCTCGGGCACCTCAATGCCCTGCCGAATGACGTCCTTGATCTTGTCGACGGCCTTGCGAACCGCCTCGGGATTGGGAGCTGTGATGAACGCGTGCAGCGGCTCATCTTCACCAGGCAACGGCTGACCATCTTTGCGGCCGACTTTGCCCTCCTTCACCGATCCCTTGCCGCGAATAATGATCTTGGCCCCGGTGTCTTTCTCCATGGCCTTCAGCGTATTGCCACGTGGTCCAATCAGCAGGCCGACAAAGTTAATGTCTGGATGTTGCTCCTGCGGAATCAGCACCTTGTCGCTGACGCGCGTAACCGGAGGCCTACAATAGAAAGAGATTAGCATTGGAATGCATATAGTTGTCGGCTAGCGACTTACTTATAATCAGCTGGAGGCTTGAATTCAGGATTAACAGCTTGCATCTTGACAATCAGCTGATGACGCTGCTCCTCCAGGCGCTTGCGATAGCGAAACTCGCGCGTATTCAAACGCTTGCCATCAGAACTGTAAATGGGCTCCGGTGAGGGTGATCTGGGAATGAATGAAACAAACGAGAAGATGGCGGCTTTGAAATGGATGTGTTCAGTGAGGCACGGTATACAACTGGCTAAACTTAATGAAATCTTATTGTATGTACTACATTATTGTATTGTATTTAATATCGATTATGTCATAGATCCTGTAATAATTTGCAAATTGTCATTCATTAATCATTAGCATCATTAGCAAGTTTTAATTAGAAAAATTCGCTGGTGAATTAAGAAAAGAAGAATTTTGATTAATTCATTCAATAATTTGATTGGATTTCAGTTTGTGGCTGGGTCTGCTGTTGCTTGGGAGCACCCTTCTGTAAAAGTGCCTCATATTTCTGCAAAAGCGTGCATTTAAGTATGGGACGCTCACGGCTTTGTGGAAGAGAAGAAATGGCATTATTATAATGTAAAATCTGATTTGATTATTGCCAGCCAGACGCTTACACTTCTCGGTCGCCGAATCTAAAACGCAGTCTCGCACCAAACGATAACCCTTCAAAAGTTTAACATTATTAATTAAGACTAGCATTAGTTAATAAACGAAATTAATAAATAAGAATGTTGCCTACAAAGAGAACACCATACGTTAAGTTTTCCCCTTCAAATAGCCCCCTTCATTATTTCATTACCGACAACCGACAGGTGCAATCAGCAGATTGTGTGAATGACCTTTGAACCGTGGAGCAAGGTCGTTAAACTACAAATTATTTTTACCGAAATTTAAAAGCATTTACAATCGCGAACATTAAATGATGAAAAGATGGTAAACAAAAAATAAACAGTGGCCGCTCTTTTCGAATTTGAAAATGATTCTAATTTTTAGAACTTACTTTTTACAAAGATAAATTATTATTAACTAGTATATTTAATTATGCATATAATGAAGATAACATAAACATACTCTTCATTAAATGCGAGCGACCACTGTGTTCAAAATAAAATTAAAAATATTTCAATACATAAGCAAGGATTTGGAATTGATATAAAGTTAAAAATAAAAACAAGTATTTTTGTTTCTTGTCTTGAGTGAGCAGGCAGGCTGCTGCAGTAAACGTGTACACATATCACCATGACGTTGAACGTGTTGTGTGATTCCACAGATCATAAATCCGGAATCCATATCCGGAATCAAGCTCACTTTGGTTTCTTGGGGGAAGATTATGAGAGTGTGGTGTGAGAATAAACAGTTTCAAACCTTTCTTCCGGTGTCTGCGTGATGCCCAAATCGCCTGTGCGCAGCTTGCGGCTAATCTCCTCGATTTGAAATTGAACTGTAATTAGAAGTCGTTAGAGAAGAAGAAAGAAAATCGAGCGCAACCTCGATATTAGTAAATGTTAAATGCTAATTGCTGTACGAGAGAAAGAGAGAATTGGAGAAACAGTTATATATGTTGCATATATATATATATATATATATATTTATATATATATATATATATATATGTATTGATATATATCATTAAGTGATGGGGCTATGGGGAGACCGTAACATATTTTCTCTATTTGTGTTTCCATTTTACAGACGACAGCGCCGACGCGTGCCTAAACTAACTGAAAATTTGTGAGCGTTACAATTAATTAAGATTGATTATTGTTCGATTGATTTGGTTGTTGATTAGTTTGGTTCATGGATTTCTCTTGGGCTATACGATAAGGTTATATTATCAAAGCCTGCTTGGAACTCGTGTCGTTTAGTGTCACACGCCGGAATCCCTTCAAAAAGAGAACGAGAAATTATTATTGTTTGCTCAATGCAATTTTGTTGTTGGTTTACGCTTGTGCTCGCACACGTCCCGGCCGTCTGAATTGGACGTCTAAACTGTGGATGGGTGTAACTGTAACGCTTACTGTGATCTCTTTGGGATCTCTGTGATCTCCCCGCGACTATTTTGTGGCTGTGTTCGTTTTGCTCATTAGTTGTCATTAGACTTATGGCTAGGCTTAACTCTAACTTAGTTACATACTAACTACTAATTACTAAGGATTCAACTGAAATACCTAAGTAGGCCTCCTGCTGGGCCGGATCCAGTGTTGACGGTAAAATTGTCGGCATGCCCGGTATAAATGTCTTGTCCTTTTCGGTGCCGCCCCAACGAGACTTTCGCTTTCGCTTGCGCTCAGCCGCATCCACTGAGAGAAAATAATAATAATAATAATATTAATATTAATATTAATATTAATATTAATAATAATAATAATATTAATATTAATGATAATAATAATATTAATTACTTGTGAATCAATAAAACACATACTTGAGTTCTCGTAAAAACCATTGCTTATTGAATCATTGCTGTTCTGACTGCTGAATAGTGCTGCAAAACTCTTGTTGCCGCCCACATTGCTCATCAGATCCTGTATGGTCTGTGAGAGATCAAAACGTGAATTATTCTCCTCCCGAATGGACTCCAGCTGCGGCTGCTGATGGTGACGCTCAAAAAGCGACGGTATGCGTGACTCCGGCTCATGCAGAGAGTTCCGATTGCTCGTGTCAAATGGATTCACATAGGCGCGTTCCCGACTGCTGCGCTCCCGACTGCTCCGTTCGCGGCTATTCCGATGCGATTCGTTGCTGCGTTCATTGCGACGCCTGTCATAGCTGCGACTGTTCGAGCGACGCCTGCGACTACTGCGATCGTAATCATCCCCACGAGCTCCTCCGCCGCCACGCGAACCACTGCGTCTGGACCGCGAGTCGCGATCCCGATCGCGTCTGCGATCCCGATCCTTGCTGCGCGAGCGTTTCTTACGCCTGTCCGGGTCATCGTGGTTGCGCGAGCGACTGCGATGCGAACGGGAATCCCGATCCCGTTCACGCTCCCGGTCGCGGTCACGATCTCTATCCCTGTCACGCTCGCGACTGTCGCGGCGACGACTCTCGCGATCCTTGCTGCCACGATCACGATCTCTGGAAATTAATAAATGAATTACTTGATTGGCAACGGGGAATTACTTGTTTCTCTTTAATACACTCACCTGCGCTTCTTCTCGCGTTCCCTATCCTTGTCCTTGTCCCTGCCTCGATCCCTGGAACGGGAACGTTCCTTGTCGGCGCCACGACTTCGATAATCGTTGTCGTTGCCGCCGTTGGCTTCTTTCTCTCTGCCTGCCCCATCGGGCACCGATAGTTGCAGCAACTCTGGTGGCGTTGCACTCATTGTGATGCGACTATTTATATTGTTAGTTAGACAATGTGACACAGTTTTATGTACGGTTTACATAAAATTACAAATTATCACCATGCCACAAAGACACGCTCACCAATACCAATGCCACCAATACACTTGCAAAGTACAATTTCGTGGCAAACTTTGACAGTTGAATGCAACGTTTAGCTGCAAACTTATGCTAACGTTTACTTGTTTGCAATGTTACTTGTTTTGGTCAAGTATTTTTCACAAATTCCACATATGAAGCGCGTTATTACAAACAAAAACCAATAATTGTGGAAGTTGGTTTTCGGCGAAAATCTTACGCACAGACGTACATATTAAAACAGGGTTGTTATTAGCGTTAGGGTTGTGAAAACTATAACGATGAATCGAGGAGTGCTTCACTCGACATATTTATAGCGCACAAAAAAACTAAACAAACTAAACTATAAATATTGCGGCTGCTTCATACCAAATTTAATAACTTGCACATTTCATAACTGCACCAGCACCAGAGACTTAGAAAACATTAACCGCGTAACGGAAATTTAAAAGCAATAATAATATCGATATTTTGAAACTTATCGCTTTATCACATTTGTCAGTATCGATACCAAAGGCGCACGTGTGTTGCATTTGTTTTCATTTGTAGTCCAGCAAAATGGGTGCGAAGAATAAAAAGTCAAGTGCCGATGCAGTATACACTAAGAAATCAACAAAGAGCAGCAATCCCTTCGACAATGCTATAGCTCAAACGGCCAAGCGATTAAATCCATTCGATGTGCATGTGAACAAGGAGAAATTTAAGATTCTGGGACGCATCTGCAAACATGACCGAGGCATGCCGGGTGTTTCCCGGGCCAAGGCACTGGAGAAGCGCGCCCAAACAATTGGCAAACAATACGCCGTCAAGAACAAGACGAACACATTCGTGGACAAGCGCATTGGGAAACATCTCAGCGGCGACCAGCTGACCGAATCTGTGATGAATGCTCGCTACCTGGCCGAGAAACTGTCCCAGGTGCGTGCATCCAACAAGGCCGAGAAGTTCAATCTGAATGACGACGAGCTGCTCACGCACAGGGGTCAAACACTCGAAGAGATTGAACAGTACAGAGACGAGCGATCTGATGACGAGGACCTGGACGATGAGGGTCTAGATGGTGAGTATTCACATATACTTATTCTTGTCCACAATTTATATAAATGTGAACCTTACAGCTGAGTTCACGTCTGCGGCTCATTTCGGTGGCGATGGCGACGCACCCCAGGATCGCCAGACGGCAATTGAGGAAATGATCACTGAGCAGAAACGTCGTAAAAATGAAATAGCAAAGGATAAAGACGAAGTCAACGATCTGACTGAGAAACTGGATGCCAACTACAAGCAGCTGTTGTCGCTGGTGGCGCAGGCAACCAAGGATGAGCAGCACGAGAAGCCACCGGCGGACGCATACGACAAGTTGCTCAAGGAGATGATCTTCGAGCCGCGCGGCAGTGTCACAGACAAGCTGATAAAGCCTGAAGAGTTGGCCAAACAGGAAGCCGCTCGCCTGGAAAAGCTGGAGAACGAAAGATTGCGTCGCATGAAATTTGATGGCGAAGAGCAGGAGACCAATGTACATATCCCACATCGTTCGGCTGATGACTTGGATGACGGCTACTTTGTGGCTGGCAACGAAGAAGAGGAAGGCGATGATGTGCTTGCTTACGATTTGGATGGCAATCTGGGCACACATCTGAGCAGCAAAAAGGAAACTGAACAGAGCAATACCAAATTGGATGAGGAAGGTAATGAGGATGAGGATGATGATGATGAAGACGAAGAAGAAGAGGAGTCCGACTCAGAGTTGGATAACTTGAGTGATCTCAAGGAGTCGGACAGCGAGTCAGAGGCTGAAGAAACTGCGCAACAAACTCAAGTAAAATCCAAACGGCAAAAGCAGCAACAAACTACTGCATCCATGGACACCAGTATACCCTTCACTATCAAGATGCCCAAGACATATGAGGATTTCGGCGAGCTGCTCTCCAAGTATTCGCCAGCACAGCAGGCCACTGTTGTGGAGCGCATCATCAAGTGCAATCATCCCAAGCTGGAGGGCGTCAATCGTGAGAATGTTGTCAAGCTGTATGCGTTCCTGTTGCAGTTCATTAAGGACATGTTCGAGGATGCCAGCGAGCAGGATATTCTCTCACATTTCCAGCTGCTGGCGCAGCTAATGCCGCATATGTATGATCTGACCCAGCTAAATCCGGAGCGCATGTCCAACACGTTGCTGGACGTGATCAAGGAAAAGTATGCCGAGTATCGCAAGAACCACAAGGTTTATCCATCGCTGGACACACTCATCTACTTTAAGCTCGTCTCAAATCTGTACTCCACATCGGACTTTCGTCATCCTGTGGCCACGCCCACTTACATCTTTATGCAGCACATTCTGTCGAGGGCGCGCATCCGCACACGCCAAGACATTGCAATGGGTCTGTTCTTAGTCAACATCGCCATGGAGTTTGGATCGCGTTCCAAGCGTCTGTTGCCTGCCGTTTTCAACTTTCTGTTGGGCATCCTTCATATGGTCATACCCAAGCGACAGACGGAGGATCAGTATGATATTGTGCCACCCTTTGAGCGAGATGGACCCTTCAGCAAACTGCTCGCCATTCCAGCCACGAAGGAGAGCCAGGCGCTTGAGCCGCAGCAACTGCAGGCTGCTGATCTGGTGACGCATACGTTTACATTGGATTTCAAGGTGCGAGCTGTGGACGCGACGCTGCGTCTGATCAAGAATATCTTTGAGGAGCTCGTCGGCGAGCATATTGGTGCCTGCTACTTAGCCAATCCCTTTCTACCGCTGCTCGAACGCCTCCCCCTCAAGCATTATCCCGAGCACGTGCAAGAACACCATGCAGCAGCAAAGTCAGCTCTGCAGCAAGTGTCGGCACAGAAAATGAAACGGCTGGCGCCTGCTGACAAGAAGCCGAAGGCTTTGCGTCTGCTTGAGCCCCGCTTCGAAGTGGTCTACGACGACAAGCGGCGGCCCAAGATGTCCAAGCAGAAGGAGGAGCGGGCCAAGCTGCTGCACAAGATTAAGCGCGAGAAGAAGGGCGCCATACGGGAAATACGCCGCGACACGGCCTTTGTGCAGGACCTCAAGCTCAAGCAACAGATACAAAGGTGAGTGATATTGATTGATTGACTGACTGATTGATGGGCATTTTTAATGCGAGGAACCTGATTTATTAGTTACTATAACTGTCCAAAAGAAAAAGTAAACAGTTTGTTGGTTGGGTGAATATCGGTTGAATGCAAGCTTTTTTGTGACTAAAATGGAACAAATGATTCAAAATTAATTTTTACTACTATTGAGCATATTTAGAGATCTATATTTCAATAGTTTACTTATTGTCTGATCGGCTTCAACTCATTTTTAAAGCGCTTCACAAATTAAATTTTTAAATATCCCCTCACGCAACAATTTAGAATGCTGACAGTCAATATTTGTATGCGCAAAGCAATGTAATGTTTGCTCAATTTGTGAAATTTTCCATTACAGTGATAAGGAGCGCCACGAGAAGGTCAAACGCATCTACCAGGAGGCCTCCATGCAGCAGGGCGAGCTCAATGAATTGGCGCGCGCCAAGAAGCGCAAAAAGTTCTAAAACCTCGCAGCTGTGTGCAAAAAGTGTTAAAACGACTTGTGTAGAAAACTTTAATAATCACGAAAATATAAACAAAAACATAAAATGTATTAACGGCTGTCTATTTATATATGTATGTCTTATAATATATAATGTTTATGTCTGATTGTCGGAGATCTGACGACAGCGCAGCGTTGCCGTCTCGACAGCTCCAGCGACGGCTGAACGAAAACCTGCAAAGTTCACAGAGATAAGCTGGTTTTGGTCTTTGATCGATGTGCGACGTCATCTGCAACATACCTGATTGCTCCAGATGCCTTAAGGCCGCTGCCGTTGAGCCAGCCGGACTGGTGACTCTGTCTTTTAGCAGGCCGGGATGTGTAGCGGTGTCGCGCACCATTTGTCCAGCGCCGAGGACTGTCTGGGCGGCGAGGCGATAGGCCAGATCTCGGGGCATGCCCATGTGAACGGCGCCATCGGCCAGTGCTTCGATCATGACAAACACATAGGCGGGTCCACTACCACTCAGTGCTGTCACAATGTCCAGCTGGGACTCGTCACACATCTCGCAGGTGCCGACGGCCTCGAGCAGTCTCTGGGTAATCTGTGCATCCGAATCGTTAGCCTTGCTGCCGCGCACATAAACCGAACAGCCGGAACGGACCAGAGCCGGTGTATTGGGCATGACGCGGATTACTCGCGACTGTGGCGATAAACTCGATTCAAGGCTCTTCAAAGTGACGCCCATGGCTACGGAAAGGAAGAGCTTATTGTCGCTCAACGGTTTGATCTCAGCCAGCACTTTTGGCACCACTTGTGGCTTAACGGACACAAACACAATATCCGATTTCTGCACAACGGGTGCGTTCTCCACGAGCGTTTCAATGCCCAACGCTTGAAAGGATTGCAGTGATTGCTTATCGGCCGGATGAACGCTGGCAATGATGCCGCTGGGCTTGGTCAGACCTTTGAGTGTGTTAAGAAATGGAAATACGAATATTGTGCACTGAGTTCACCTGCAGAAATGAAGCCATTGGCCAAGGCTTTGCCTATATTGCCACCGCCAAGGAAACCAATTTTGCCAATGGACCCCATATGAAAGAATTACAACTCAATCGTTCGCTGTTGTAGCAGCAACTGTTTTAAATTCGTCTGACGATAAGCAATCTGTTCTTTCCCAAATGCGTCGTAATCGCCCACTGCCACTCCCCTGCACCCTTCCCCTCTTTCTAACCATTTACAGTTTGATGTCGTTCGCATTAGGTTCTTATCATTTGTGTGCTTGTATTTTTCACAGACTTATCAGTTGGCAATGATGAAAGAGGGACAACACCAACAACGTCGTTGAACTACATGAATTTACTTTTAATGACAGCTGTTTAATTGACGTAATTGTAATCTGTGCACCTTTGTCTCACAAATCAGACTCATTTGTTTTGTTAAACAATAACAAATACGTTAAACCATTTTAAATAAATGCGCTTAAATTTTAAATTTGTCAACCAGTTGGCAGCGCCACAAAATACGAAAAATAAATACCAAAAAAGAAAGAGAAACGTTTTATCGAAAAGCAACGCAGCGACATTTAATAGACACTATTTTTCAGCGCTTTACAACATTATTCACTTAGAACGTCGTCGAGAGAAATTTTTTACAATACAAATTGCAGTCTTACGCACTTCAAATTAACTTCCATTCGTCTAATTGATAATTAAGCCAAATACACGTTCGACCAAAGCACAAACGACAGCACACACACACTAACGAATATCAGAGGGTTGATAGCAGCAGCAGCCAAGGCAGAACAAAGTCGAATGCAATTTGCATTTGCTGGCTGTGTTTGTGTTTGTGTTGTTTCCACACACACATTTTCGCTGGGCAGCTGTGACCTAGCTGTAAATTGCCACTTGCAGCAAATAGCAACCACAGCAACAGCAACAAACAAGCAACAACAAATTTTCAAGGTTCGTAAGCTAAACAAACTGACGACGCTCAAACGTAGCCCCAAATCATACAGTAAACAATCGAAAAACAGACAACTAACAATGTACTTTTTAATATTTGCCAATTTGGCGTGGGTTGAGTTACTCGTCAGAGCTTTCAGGAGGGGAGACCCACTCTCAACCCCCAAATGGCATTTGGCCACGTGTAATTGTTTCTTGGCACCAATATACACAACGCTTATCAGTTAGTTATATTTTGAAATGTTTATCAGCATACGTGTGTGATAAATGTCAATGTATAAATTACAATTTTGTTTTCGTTTGTATTTTAACAGTATCATTTCGTTCAACAGCAGCAGCAGCAGCAGCCTGTTCAACAATTGTTTTAACAAAAATGTCCTCGTCGACGGCGTCAGGGTCCGCCGCCCGTAAACAGCCCACGGCTGTTTCGCGCATGAAACAGGATTATATGCGACTCAAGCGTGATCCATTGCCGTACATTACGGCGGAGCCACTGCCCAATAACATTCTGGAATGGCATTATTGTGTGAAGGGACCCGAAGATTCGCCATACTACGGAGGCTACTATCACGGCACATTGCTCTTTCCCCGCGAGTTCCCCTTCAAGCCGCCATCCATATACATGCTGACGCCGAATGGACGCTTCAAAACAAATACCAGACTGTGTTTAAGCATTTCAGGTAGCCCCCAAACTAAACTAATAAGAATGATCGTTCTCAATGCATTTGTCACGATTTAAATGCATTGAAAATATAGTTTTTTAAAATCATCTCCACTAGTTCTGATTTGAATCGGAATATTTGCACAATTCCAATTGGACCTTAGCTCTCTTTCCATTTCCATTTGTTATACTCATTGTATTTATATACTGCAGATTTTCATCCAGACACATGGAATCCGACTTGGTGCGTGGGCACGATACTCACAGGCCTCTTGAGTTTTATGGTAAGGCTTCCACTTACAACTGTCTTCTGTTGGATGTTTAACTGAGATTTCTTTGTTTCCTTTTTTTGTAGCTGGAAAGCACACCCACACTGGGCTCCATTGAATCGTCAAACTATGACAAGCAGCTCTATGCCCAGAAATCGCTTGCATTTAACCTGCGCAATGCCAACTTCTGCGAGCTGTTTCCCGATATTGTGAGCGAGATCAATCTGCGCTTGGGTAGCCAAGCGGCGGCAAACGATGCCAAGTCCGGCTCCAGCTCTTCAAAGCGCTCCAATGGTGTGGCTAACGGCAGTGCCGTTGCCACAGACACTCATCATTTAAATGCCAGTAGTGCCAATGGGCAGCTGCACTTGCCAGCGGATGGTGGCAGCAACGATGGGCTGGTGGTGGATGGCGCTGGCTCTGGTGCGGATCTGGCCAACGGTGGTAGCGGAAGCGGTGCAGCAGCGCTTAAGAATAGCGCACGTAATTCCTATTTAAATTGGCAGTCGATCTATTCGAATCTAGTGATTATAATCTGTTTTGCAATATTTGCGCTCATTGTTAATTACGTGATCAAGAACCTGAATCAGGAATAGAATTAAATTGTAAGCAATCAGTACTAAATAGCCTCTATATATTTATATATGAGTATGATGTATATGCGTATGTATATTTAATATAGTTTATTTAAAATTAGTAACTTTTCGCTCTGCTCGCAGTTGTCGTCTACCGTACAAATGTACGTTCAAATCCTTGAAGCCAACCACCAACCCCCCTGACCCCTTCGGCCCAACCCAAAACAAGGGCTCAAACCATAACTAGTGCACAGCTTAAAAAGTATTTGCCGACACTGCTTTCCCCGATTGACGTCCCCGTCCTTAATCGAAGTTGGTCAACAAATTTATTGGCATCATAGAACACATCAAACTCGCGAATTCAAATTAATTGATAATTTGTTTTGTTATGTATTCATTAATATTATAAACTAGCCGATAGTCATAACAATGATAAACAAGATATTGAAACAAGTAAATTAATATGTTTGTAAATTAATAAAAAGGAGCAAGAACGTACATATATATATATACATATATATATATATAGTTATTTATATATAATCGAAAATATTCAACATTTAAATCTATTGCTGACAGCTTTTGGTGAATTGTAATTTTCTATTGTAATATATTCGAATGAGTCACATTTAAATCGGCAAGAAAGATTTGGAAAATTGCAACTACTTGATTGGCATAAAAATTGATTTCTTTACAACATGATGTGCACCACATTTCGAGTCTTATGATTGGAGTCGTTCGGCCAACATTAGAAGCTTCGGCGGAAAAAAAGAAAACTGCATTCTGTTTGAAAACTTTGGGGTAAGTCATCACGGCGCTAAAGTTGATAATTTAACTAACGTAAATTTCAAGTTCATGCAACGTCATTGCAGACAATGGCAAAGTTTTTGCTGCTGCTGCCACTTGCAACTTCTCAAATTTTGCTGTTTGTTTTATGAACTTGAATAGTTTAAGCCAATTTTGACTGGGAATGACAGAGAAGAAAAACACAAAACACGATGCTAAAAAAGACATCGAATTGTACATACTCTTTAAAAACATATTTTTAACGATTGATTGCAAAATAAAACTAATCTTTTGAACAAAGCCTAGCTTTAGTTGTAAGGGCTAGAACAATTTAATTTGTACAGAACTTTCATTTTAGATTATAAATAAACACTAAGAAAGTGTGTTTATTGAATGAGATCAGAAATTGGGAGAAAAAGGTTAGCGTGTATGGAAAACACGATCTGAGGGCTACTCGTTAAGAAAAGAATGCGATAAAATTATAATATGTTATATCTTAATTGCAGACAGAAAGACTAGGAGTACTATTAATCAGTAGTATTAAGAGTATGGATGCTGTGTGGTTTATGTTAATTAAAAAGTGCACATGTATTATATTTAGAGGAGATGAAAACCAGAGGCAACAAGAACTCCAACAGCAGGCGGTTTATTAAAATCCCCCACATCTTCTACATTCTGTAAATTGTGTGCATTCTGTTTGTGTGTTTGTTACTTATAGATAGAAAATTGGATTGAGCGAGTGAAAGCAATATATGACTGTGCACACTTTTTGTTTGGCATTTGTTTTTTGAGTGCCAGCATGCTGGCGACATGTTTGGGCAGACCAAGTTGCCAGTGCTTGCTCTTTCCGGCACTGTCTTTGATGTTCAAGCGGAAGTTTGGCCATTTATGTAAGTGCAGTTTTTGCTCATTTACTGAAGCTGAAGCTACAAACTGGAGATGATGCTGAAGCAACATGCACTCCAAGTTCGTTCAGTTGGGTCAAACAGTTTATATCCATGTGGTTCATTGTGCCACAAAACAGAGCTTCAACGGATGAGGCCATCAATTCCCGGACCAACCAGACACATACATACATACGTACATATGTACATGTCAACACACATACATATGTACGTATGTACGTATGTATGTATGTGTGTTGACTTAAGTGTAGAACAAATGGCAACACAACATTAGGCGACCATAAATACGGATACTGCTTAGGACAGTATGTTGGGCTGTGTGTAACTCTCCCGATACAAGTTAAGCCGCTTGCTAACAAAAATATGCCCACTGTCGTTTAAATAACAACAAAAAAAATAAAAAGAAACAAATGGAATTTGCGCACAACACATAACAAGAAGAAGAACAACTACATCAACTATACCTTCTGCTGGGCCTCGACTCCTTCAGGGCAATAAAAGCAGTGGCCAAAAACAAGCTGAGCCAACGGCGGTCAGCGAAATTTTTATGCGCCCACGGCCATCGTCAAGATAAATAAATATAAATAAAAATAACAAATGCAATAATCATTAAACATGGCTCATTGGTGGCCATGTGGGTATTCATGTGTGTGTGTTTGTATCGTTGGACTTGAGCAGTGCTCGGAAGACACACAAAGCCGACAAAATGAAAATGTTTGTTAAATTATGTAAGCAATATACGTTTATACTTTTTTGTGTGCGCAATAAACGATGAAACATCTACTTAATATGCAGAGGCCACGCACAAATATCAACAGAACACAGAATCTATGTGTGTGTGTGTAGGAGTGCTCTCTCTGTGTGTGTGTGTGTGTGGGTGCGTTTAGGTGAATTTCTGTTTTGATCAATGCATAATCAAATCAGCATCAGCTGCAGATGTAACTGTAAATTTATTGCTTTATTGCCTAGTAAAGGATACAGATGCATATGAATAGGAATACAAAAGCTGCAAGGAGCTACGGGTTGCGAGGACTAAAAATGTTTTATTTAAACTATATATAACACAAAAACAATAAAGAATTTTTATCTAAGGCTTTGTATGCTGGAGTTAATCTGCTGACATATAAATTTTTATTCTTAGTTTGAAATATTATTGTATTTTTCAACATTTTAAACACGCTTGGGAAGTCATTTAACATTTTATTTTTGTTACAAATATTTATTAAAATTTTTTTAGTTTTACACAAATAGTTTTCTAATAATTTTCACATTTGTGTATTTATATTGTATCAGAAAGATACATCTATTTCAAGCGGACTTAAGTTGTGACCTGCAATAACATAATATTTCGAACTATAAAATAAATAATTATCAGCAAGGTTTAACAAAAATAAGAATGTTGCGTGAAATTAATTGAATACAAAATTTGGTTATTTCAACTTATTTGGTATAAAACATTAAAGCTTACTTTTATTCATTGTGGCATGAATTAAAATGGAACTAAAGACTAATTGGATGGCAGCTTATAATAAATAATGCAAATAACACAAACAACCATTTTAAAATTAGGTCATTCTAGCAAAATGTTTATAAATGTATCGGTTTTAATATAAACTTTCCACTATTAATGCGCTAGAAACTCTAAGCACACAAATTAATTAAACATCCTTGCGGATACTGCGTATACGTTATTTTAAATTTTGTGTTATGAATTTTAGTTTATTATTTGGTGACCTCTTTTTATACAGCTACAGTTTTGCATGCATTTTTGACAAATATGATAAACAATTCTAAAAAGCCCAGCATAAGGCAACTACTTTAAGGCTAAAACATATGTTCACTAAGCATACCAATTATGTATGTACATACATACATACATGTGTATGTATTTATGCCATTATACAACTTCATGTGTGCGCTGTGTACTCTAAAGAGTCGTGCCACATTTTCATTGCTCGCTTTGTGGCGCTTAATTAGAAAAGCCGTTGGATCCAGCAGCTAACGTTACGCATTCGCCCCATTTGCCGGTCCCGTGCTCGTTTGCTGACGGAAACTGTGCACTTGGACTCTAATATATTGCCTCATGACGTGCTTTATGTGCTGAATTGTCGCTGTCGCTGTCGTCGTCGTTGCTGACGTTGCCGACGTTGTTGTCGTTCTAAATTTTGCAATTCTCAATGCTAACGAACCTTTTGCGTACTAGCTGCACACTAAGTGCACTCCGAGAACAGTCGTCAGTCGCCAGTCGAGTGCTCAACCACTCAACCACAAAGCTATAAATTTGTATTAGCCTGTTTTGAATGTTCGCTGGCCAAATTTGAATTATGAACATGTATTTTTCGTTTGGCCGACTAATTGCCTAGCAGAATTGGCGGCAGCAGCTCATCAATAACCTTTTGATGGTTCAATTTGTGGATGCTCAACATCAGCCATACACAAGTGTACATAAATACGTATTTGGTATTACATTTGGTATACAACACCAAAGACAGGCAGTCAACTGGCTTATATAGAACAGGCTGCTGTCAGAGGCAAATTGTTGTTGTTGTTGTTGTTGCCCTAGCTTCAACAAATTATGAGCTCAATAAAAAGTGGCAAGAGCAACTACAACAACGGCAACAACACGCGACACTCACTACATAAGTGGCAGCCACTTCCGGGCAGTAGTTGCTTCTGCTGTGGCCTCTTCGTGCCACACTCGCCCGCCTCCCTCTTCACAGGCGCCCGCCTCAGTTGCAGCTGGACCGTGTGAGTTTTCAAGTGTCGTGTTTGTTGGCACTTTTATGACGCTGCCACACTAGCCAGTAGTGAGTGTGTGTGTGTGTGTTTGTATAATCGTGTATGTACGAGTGAGTACTGTGTGTGTTTGTGTGTATTTCAGAGACTTCGCATTGAATTAACTTGAGTGTCTGCCGAGGCCATAGGCAAGGGTGAGGCTAACAACAGGGCGTTGTTGTGGTCAGCTCCTGGCATTTATGGATCAGCCTGTCAGCCAGTGCATTTGTCAAGCGTTTTCATTAGCCCATGAGGATAATCACTTTACAGAGCAGAAGTGAGGAGAGCTAACGGTGAATGGCTAGTTTCGGTTCGTCGAAGATTACATAACTTTGGGGTTGGAGTCCACTTCCAAACTTTGTTTTTTTTGGGGAAATCCAGAAGAAAACCAATCAGACAAAAATTGGAAAGCATTATGGTAATAGGGAAAGTAAAAAGCCAAAATGGCAGAGAAAAATTAAAGGATAAAAAATTAAAGGTTAATAATGAAAATATAGGAACATCTCTGGGTCTGTGGATAAGATTAAGTTTACCATAGTTGAGTTAAAAGGTTTCCCAAAGATATCCAATTCAGGCGCCATATTTACTACCTATTGCAAAAAGCAAGTTTCATTTATGATATCTTTAAAGCAAAGTGACTAAATATCATATTAACAGTTGGATAGACTAATTAGACTCAACATCCTGGTCAGTAATACATATAGAAATAAGCTTCAGTCGCCTTCATCAATGCGTTCAAGGTTATAATTATATAAAACAGAATGCCAACAATTTAATAGTGTTGCAACGACAAATTCTATTCACTTTGCACACAGCGTATGTTAAGTGATTAACTGTAAATACGTTAAGCATAATTTAGAAGCACCCAAAGAAGTTGTTGCAACAAAATTGGATGCCTGCATAAGTGATAATCTGAAAGTGTCTTAAGGTATGCAACTGCAAATGCTTTGCAAAAGAGCAGCAGTTGGACCGGAAAACTATAAGAAAGCGAA